CTCTGCCCAAATCCAGTAACCTTAAAGCAAAATTACAGGAACGAAAAAGTGAGATAGATGAGAGTAAATACCGTAATAAGACTTTATATGGAAGCTAAATAACTTTGATTTGTAGAATGGTACACAAAATGGTACACTTAATACACAACGTTAACGATAAACATAGAAACATCAGTGCATTATTTCACGGTTATAAGATAGTTAAATGATCGAGCTTGTTTTCCGCGGTTAATAAATTGTGACAATTAACCAGAGCTGTTCTGAACATACTCGAAGCGTCAGTTATTTCCATTCATACATTGCCATTCAAGAGCCGGTCTACAACAGAGCAAAATGAAAGGTGTTGGCAACGGTTAAGCACGTTTTCCGCTCAATAATGACCAGCTATTGCACAATTGGGAATTACGCGCTGAATTTGAGCTACCGCATGTTTAATTCAGAGAGCGGAGATTATTAATCTGATCCTCTACTTTCTGTCGCGCGTGGACACGTTTAAAATTATCGTACCTCTGCAGAACTATTTAATGGAAACGAGTTTAAAACTGAGAGAATAATGGCTGAAATAATGAGTCACCGAGTGAAGATCATGAATATTTTTGCTGAATACTGAAATTCGATATTATAAAAGCGTCAACTTTTGTCTTTTTCGAAAATATTAGCATTCGGTTATTATATTAAAATAAAATTAAAATTTATGTAAAATTTATTAAATAGATGTTGCTTGATATTTTAACTTACTATTAGGTTAAATAAGGTGCTTCAATTTTAAGTTTACATTTGTGGTAAATTTTGTTTATTTAAATTATATCAATTTCATTATGTTATAATTCTTGTTTCAAACTTTGAAAGCTAGTTTATTTGGTTATTACAATAAAATAAAATTAAAATTAATGTTCATTAAAATAAATATAAAATTTGTTAAATAAATATTGCTCGATATTTTAATTTACAATTAGGTTAAATAAGGTCCTCCAATTTTAAGTTTACATTTAAGGTAAATTTTGTTTACTTAAATTATATCAATTTCATTATGTTATAATTCTTGTTTCAAACTTTGAAAGCTAGTTTATTTGGTTTTTACAATAAAATAAAATTAAAATTAATGTTCATTAAAATAAATATAAAATTTGTTAAATAAATATTGCTCGATATTTTAATTTACAATTAGGTTAAATAAGGTCCTCCAATTTTAAGTTTACATTTAAGGTAAATTTTGTTTACTTAAATTATATCAATTTCATTATGTTATAATTCTTGTTTCAAACTTTGAAAGCTAGTTTATTTGGTTATTACAATAAAATAAAATTAAAATTAATGTTCATTAAAATAAATATAAAATTTGTTAAATAAATATTGCTCGATATTTTAATTTACAATTAGGTTAAATTAGGTCCTCCAATTTTAAGTTTCCATTTACGATAAAATTTATTTATCTAAATTATATTAATTTCACAAAATTTTTTAATTTTTCGTTTCAAATTTTAAAACCTATTTTTCTAGTACTATATAACATTTTTTATTAATAAATTATGACAGTAATACGAAATAAGAGCAGTAAACTCGCGGATAATTTGGCGCGATGCAGAAACAGATCAGCAGTTTACTGTTCATAGGAGCCATGTTTACTATTTGAGGTTAGTTTAGCCTCATTAGTAAGTTCACGGACTTTATTCCAAAATGCTGCACTTGTCTACGAATTTAGAAAGTAATTTCTATTTTCTGCCGACGTCTTCAATTACTAAGAATGACGGACATTTTGAGATCCATTAATTGATCTGTTTATTTTGAAAGTAGGACAAGTCTTCGAAGACACGAAGACAACAATAGAGAGCACTTTATATATTTTTCTCTGTAAACAATGTATAGAGAAAATAATCGAAATTCCTTAATAGGTGGTTAGTGGAAATTTGGATGATGCACTCGAAGATTGTTTACTTTGAAAGTGGTGTATTTATTAGTAAAATTTATTAGTAAATTTATTAGTAAAATTACAAGTTATGCAGACAATACACACTCGGTATATTTAACAAGCTCCAAAAGAAATCCTCTATACAGTTTCTGAAAGATATACCGCTACCAACTTCCTTTCGTCGACGAGCTGCTTCCACGAATTTCCCATCTCGAAGAAACAAAGAAAGAGATCTTTATCTTCTACGGTATTAACGAAAGAAAGAATCTCAGAGAAGCAGAAGAAAGAATCAGGGCGTTGTTACCTCATTCAAGAAAAGAATACACGGCCCTACTCTGATCTCAAAAATCGTCGCTAGAACTTGCCTCTTATAAATTAAATCAACAGGGTATTTTATAGAAGTCTTTCGTTTTACTTGAGTCGCGTTTACAAAGAGGATGCGAAGACGATTATTAGAGGACTCGGTTATAAGGGATACATTAGAATTAGGTGGGGAACATAGCGGCTAGTCTCTACTAAAAATTATTGTCGAAGAGAGTTTGAAATTTCAGTAAAATGAAAATTTGGAAATTTAAGAATTTTTGGTAACAGGAAATTTGAGAATTTTGGTAAAATAGCAATTTTAATGTGAAGAAATTTTTGAATATATTTGAGAGTTTAAGAATCTGGAATTTTGGAAAAATGAAAGTGTAAGAATTTTTAGAAACGTGTGAATTTTTAAACATTCGAATAATTTGAAACATTTCAGAATTTGTGAATTTAAGAATTTGAGAATTTAAGAATTTCAAAATCTGAGGATATGATAAAAATTTTCAAAAGTAAGAATTTGCTGCTGTAGGTGCAAGAAACTCAGAAATTTAAATATAAATCACTAAAATTATTAAAAATTATAACTTCACAAAATTTGAAAATTTTTAATATCCTCCAGCATATATCAGTTCCCCTTCCCAAAAACCTCAAGAGTTTCCTAGTTTGCCACAAAGATCTCTACGTCGATAGAGGAATGAAAAGATGCTAAAAAATGCACTACATATTTCGCGTAAATTGCATGAAAATGAAATTTCCCTCGCACTTTCCTTTCGTCGCATTTCCGCGAAATACTCTCCACGCTCAGAAGATTATCAAAAATGAAATTGAAAGATAAAAGGTGTCTCGATTTAACCTCGCCAGAATTTTACGTTTTATGCGTGACGATGTAACAGTTAGATCGAATCGAATCGATCCTCTCTACAGAGCCATCTTCGAGATGATCCGGTTTGTCCTCCTCATCTCGGTTTCTCCATTGACAATAGCCTCCATCGCTTGAATTTCGAAGCAATAGCTCGCGGACGCAATCGTCTATACGGTCTGCGGGCACGGAGCGTATTCAATGAAATTCGATTATCCTGCACGATCTTATCGCTCGAGGGCAGGTGCAAGATCGTAGCATGAACTTAGGTACATCCAATTTCCGGGGAAGAATTACCTCGTCGAATCTAAGACACCGACAACACAGCCGTAACCACGACTTAACTCGCCATCGTCACAGACTTCTGTTTATCTCCGACCTTTCTTGCGGCCCTTTTCCTCGTTCTTGTAAATTTACTCTTTCTTTATACATTTATCTCGTGTCTTTCTGTACTTTCTTCCCGTTGTCCTTCCTGCGATTTCTTTGTTTTAAACACGAATCCTCGTAATTATTTAACCTTTTTTCTTTCATGATTGTGTCATAATTATTGCAAGGAAGGTTGAAGTGTCGAGTAATGTTAGCAATCTTGTAAATTAAATTTTAAATTAAAAATTAAAATAATTCTACATGTGATCACTATATTTTGCGTATATCATTAATAGTTTTAAAATTGTTAAATTCATTTGTTATTAATTTAAATTAAATAAAATATAATTTGACGAAAGAAATCTGTTCCATTCCTAACCTCAAAAGTCATGTACGAAGAGCTTAAGTCCTAGGAGGTTAAAATTACAAAAGAGGTATTACTCTTAAAATCTTGATCCACTCGTGATTAAACCTTTATCGCCCGCCCTAACAATTCAAATATTTCTAACTTAATATTTCCTCACATTTTCTCCGACAATTCCTTGTAGCTGCACCTTTTACCCTTCGTGGCGGCTAGCATATCGTCTCGAGTGTAATTTTATTATCTTTCTCCCCCTTTGACTGAACTTTTCTTCTTTTCTTCACCTTAGCACACCGGTCCGTGTTGTTATTTAAGCCGCATTTTACCCTTGCATCCTTCCCTTCCTTTTACCGACTGCAACGCCGACGACCGACCCTCCCGCTGCTTTTTCTTCTTCTTTTCTGATACAGATGCAAACTTCCCTTTCACCACGTTGAAATTATGCAAAGAAGGAGACGATGGCTATCTCCGTGCAGACTTACTGTTGCTTTTGCCTTTGCCATTGCAACCACCGTGTACATTTGGCTGAAGCGGAATAAGGCCGCGATTCTGAGAACGCTCCTCGTCTAAGTGGCAAGGAATATGGTACTTTTTTCGAGCGAGTATGTTACTCGGCAAAAGGGAATTTTATGTCTTTACGCTTTTTATGACCGTTCAATAGGGTGTTCCTTCCGGTGAAGACCTTTTACCTGGTTTATAACCTTTACCCTTTTTCTAGTAGATTTTTGATAAATTATAGTGCTGGTTTTATGTCTCAGGAATTTATCACTTTTGACACTTGAGATGTTCGACGTAACCTTGTCTCCAATTCTCAATTTAAAATTATTCAATTTTGTAATTTATACTTCTATAAATTTTTAAATATTCAAACTTAATCTAAAATTCCTGGGCTCAAGAATTTTTTAGTATTAAGATCATAAATTATCCCATAAGATCTTATCCCCCATTCCTCCTTCATTAAAAATTATAAAATCAGAGCTAAAAAACTTTGACTACTAGTACGAGGTAACTAAATCAATTACCGTAGGTAACAGTTAATTGAAATTCGACGCGTTTAAATCCGGGCGAATTTCTAAAAATACGTGCGACGGGCTGAACGGGAATCAGCAGAATTCATCAGGGTTAAGAAGATAATCTTCGGGAGGAGATAGATCCTGTTGGAAGTACCTGGGGAAACGATATTAGGACGTACTCACAGTGCACGTGCAGCATCATCCGTTTGCTGACTGACGGTGGTACTCCGTTACTTGCGATGCACAGATAGGCACCCATCTCGCTTCTGGTTACTTTCGACAGAGTCAGCGTTTCTCCCTCGGCTGTAGCGACTGCAATACACAAACAGAAGAAAGGAATTTCAAAACTTGTCTATCAAGAAGGACTATTTTATTTGTCTGAAATTGTTTTCTTATTTCTAATTTATGGGTGATCGTTTGCGATCTGCGGATGTCCATGGATTTATGATAGAAGACTGTACACGGTGCTAGGTATGCAAGATGGTATATTCGTGAAAAGGCGCTGAACAAATAGAACTGCGAATGAGCGTTTTCTCTTATACTTTACTTCTTGAACTTTAAATGAACTCTAAACTAAAATGAAATAATTTAAATATATTCTATTGAACATACTGCATGTTGAAGGTCATGCACATGAATAAACTCTTGACGCGTTGATATGACATTAAGAAATATATAAAATTTCATTTATGGTGAGTGAAAGTCACCATTTCTCGAAAAATACAGATGTAAAAATATAAAAATTGATATACATTGCTAGTGAAATAAGGTGCGTTCAAAAAGGGGACTGGCATAGAACACGTTAGAGCAACGGAAAAACGAAACTCGCAGCATATGATCTTCGATTGCTTTCCTATATGCGTGCCAAGTTTAACAATCGGTTGCGTCGTTCTCTAGTAATTGTCCGTTGCAGTTAATCGCGAGCTGTGGCTTTGGCGATTCTGGAAGACGAGTGATTTCCACGAGCAGAGAACGTGCATAAAATTCTGTTTTAATCTTAAGAAAACAGCACTGGAGGGGGAGATGCTTCAAATTGCTTTCGGTGATAGAAGTCAGACTTTTTTCTCCTCCCGCCTCAAACGGGCACCGAAATGGCGACGTTTCGATACTCGAGAAGACATACTTACAAAATCGCAGGAAGAGTTGAGGCGGATTCCGAAATCGGCTTACCGGAAGCATTCGCAATTTGGAAAAAGAGGTTTTATAAATGCATACGTGCAGAAGGAGATATTTTGAAGGCGATATACTGTAAATGCCATAAACCTTCGAACAAAAGATACGTAACAGTCCCAGAACATTTTGAACGCACTTAAAACTTTTCACTAGATCTTTTGTTGTTAGTAAATTGTAACTCTGCAATTTTGTAGTTGGAATGTCTAATGAGCTCTTTTGAAGTTGCTATTTCTTTATTATTAATTGCCACTGTTTGACTAGGTTTATATATTTTGGGGTCGCTGAACTTTTCAAACATACCTTGTATATAGAATTCTGCGATGCTAAACAGATCACGTAATCTATGAGAGCCATGGTATATGGGTTACATGAGTTATGTTCTCGTAGATTTTGATTACCATAAATGCATAAACATGTAGAGTCAAGATTTAAAACGAATGTTACATCTCGATTTTAAGTTGCCTTAGGAATGTAACTTGTCATTACGGTGTATTAATATTTATTTTTTGGTTTTTAATTAGTTGCTCTCGAAACTTTGGGTGAATACAAAAAATTGGCAGACATTTGATCTTATCGATTTGAATTATTTCTATTCACATTTTAAGTCTGAGTAAAAGTGTTTTTTACCTCAAGGGGTTAATTGTAACTTTCACTGATATATAACAGTGATTTCAAAAAAAGATGTTTATGATAATTTTTTATTTTTATCTGAGTTTTGTGAAAAGTGATCAGTCAGTATTTTTCAACTTTTCGATCTTTGAAACAGACTTTCAACAGTTACAATAATTTTGCCTGTTAAATCTAACAGGCAATCAAGAATAATCATTGTCGAGTAGAAGCTTGTTAAAATATTTTCTGAAAGTGTATTTCGAAACAGAATTCTAATATTTCTAATGGAATTCCCTCGATGCCAATGTAATCCTACTTATACAAGATCGTTTAACCGTATCAAGTAAACAATTGAATTGTATTTCCATCTAAACATATCGGATTAACCATGAATACATGGTAGGAAGCTTAAGACCTTGCCATCATCCCTTTCAACTCGACACGTCGATACTACACCCTCGATCTCTCTATGAAGTGCTAGGGAAAGCGTAGTTTCACCTGTGCTTGAGAATCAATGTTCTCTGAAGAGACCAGAAATTCTATTAGAAAATGTTGACGCCTCAGTGCGTTGGATTCTTCACTTGGAAAGTGAAATTGAATTCTTCAATTGAGGTGAAAATGAATTCTTCAATTGAACTGAAAATAAATTCTTCCATTTTCAGAAAGAGATTCAAGAAATTAAATATAATATTAAAAATATATAACGGTTGAAATTATTATACCCATGTTCCTATTTTGATAACTTCATGAAATTAAATATATACTTTAATTTTTACAATTTATTATTTTTATAGTATAATACTGTGTATGCTTTTACAGAATAATGCAAATTTGCAGAATATTATTATTGGAATACATTATGTTGCATATTTTACATCAATACACCAATTCGTTTGAAATAAAAATATTACTGAAATATCAGATTAATTAATGAAAATAGAAAGGATAACTCTTTTTATAAAAATCACCACTTCGACTAAAACCTTCAAGTTTTATCAAGAAAAGAAAGTTCAATATAGGAAATAAAGAAGATTATATTCCAGAGAAAGATAATTTGTTTCTTTGTATTTTAACGAGGGAGTCCTTTTAATTGGGTCACGTATTTGTCGTCTAAAATTTCTTAACACGGGGTTCGCCAACGTCAAAGTTTACCTTTGCTTTGACATTGTTTCTCCAAAGAATTTATCGTGTTTTCTGAACTCTTTCGTATGAAACGTGACAAGAAAACCGTAGTAAATTTAAAGATAGAGAAAGAGAAGAACCGAGACAACGTTGCTTTTCTTGGAAGGTGCTATTGTACTATGAACTTTCAATGCTGAAATTCAAATTCCTTTTAAATTCTTCTCGGCTCTTTGTGCATCACCTCGAAAAGCTGTCACCTGCTGATGTAAATCCCCTTTTACCGAAGTATACCTCAACAATATTCAAAAGACGCCACTGTATCATGCAACAAAGAAATAGGAGTGTGAAGAAATATTGTAGAATTTGTCGAGTCCTCCGCGATTTCGTGTGACTTTGGAACATTGAGAATTTTGGGGTTTGGCGATGTAAAATGTAGGAATTTTGAAATGCTGGAACTTTGGAATTTTTTAATACTTGGATAAGGGGATTTTTGAAGTTTGAAATGCTTGGAACTTTGAAATCTTTTAATATTGAGATGAGGGGGCTTTGGAATTTTGGAATATTGGACTTTTGAATTTTGTAGCTTTGGAACTTTAGAACTGGAGGATTTTAGGATTTTAGGATTTAGGGGTGTTGAAACTTTTTAACTTTGTAATATTTGCATTGTAATATTAATATTTGTAATATTTGGATTTGGAAGTATAGAGATTGAAATGTTTAAACTTTTGGAAAATTTGGAGCTTGGGATTTGGGAATTTTGGGATCTGGAAATTTTGGGATTTGGGAATTTCGGGATTTGGGAATTTTGGGATTTGGGAATTTTGGGATTTGGGAATTTTGGGATTTGGGAATTTGGCGAATTTGGGAAATTTGGAGAATTCGGGGAATTTGGGATTTGGGAATTTTGAGATTTGGGAATTTGGGAATTTGGGGAATTTGGGAAATTTGGGAATTTTGGGAATTTTGGGATTTGAGAATTTTGGGATTTGGAAATCTTGGAATTTTGGAATTTTGGGATTTGGGAATCTTGGGATTTGGGAATCTTGGAATTTTGGAATCTTGGAATTTCGGAATCTTGGAATTTTGGAATTTTGGAATCTTGGAATCTTAGAATCTCGGAATTTTAGAATTAAAAAATTTGAAATCAGTCATTTTTAATTTTGAAACTTTAGAACATTGGGGTTTTAGAAGTTTGGATGTTTAATACCTTGGATCTTTAGAATTGCAAGCTTTGAAATTTAGGGTCTTCAAAATTTATTAGCATTGAAATTTCAGAATTTCTGAATTTTAGGACCTAGGGATTTTACAGATTTACAACTTCAAAACAGTTGTATTTCAAGTTTTCCAATTTTTGATTTTTAATATTGTGAGAGAATGTGAATTAATTATTTTTGAATTTACGAGTCTTAACACAACTTTCAATTTTCGATCATAAAACTATTCCATTAAAAATTACCATCGTAACAGTTAAATGAAGAATTATTAATTACAATTGTTAAGTGAACAACAAACAACCAATTATTTAATGAATTGTACAATTGTAATTTAAATTATAATTGTTAATTCAAGGAAAAATTACGAATGAAATTGAAATTCACAATGTTGTTAATTCCTCAAGTTCATCGTTGATTCTTACATAACTGAATAAGAATTTTAATTATTTGAAGTCCTGATTGTAACATATGCAATTTTTCAACTCTTCAAATTTTTAATTTTCTTATAATAATGTATTAAAAACTAATTAAAGATAATTAAGTGATCTTACTTTTCGTTTTTCCACCAGAGAGACCAGCACGAGAAATAATTTCACCGCCATCTTCCCGTTTCCAAAGGATCTCCGGTTTCGGATATCCACGAGCTTTGCACACTAGTTTCGCGGATCCACCTTCCGGCACCATTAAATCGTTCGATGTTTCTTCGGAAATTATGTCCGGTGGTATCACCACTTCTAAAAACGCGCTCTGCAAATTCATAAAAAGAATAATTACATTTTTTAGCAACTGCGTTTAACCCTTAACGGTCACTCGGTGTACGAAACAACCCCAGCTAATTTAATTTCAATTTTAGCCACGTTATAAAATAATTAAAAATTTGAATAAACACCTTTTTTGAAACCCCGGTATTTTTTCCTCAAACTACTATACATTTATTGAGAGTATTCAGCTAAAATTTAAGCTGCGTATATTGACATCAAAATAAGTTTTGAATTTTTCTGTGAAAATTTATTCTTTCAATTTTTTTCACATTTCTAAATTTTTGTTATATTCATTGTTTAAATTTACTAAAATCAGCTGTGAAATATTGTAAAATAACTGTCAAAGATTATTTATAATTTTTTTTCAAGTTAAAATAATGAGAAGCTTCTTTATAAAATTTTTAATAGCTGAGCTCTTAAACGCTCCACTGTGCCGGATATATTATTCTGATGAAGTGCGACCGTTATGGGTTAATCATCTATTAAATTATACGTCTACAATATCGGATCACATGCATTATTTCAACCCTTTGAAACATGATGAATACCATCCTTTTGTCATTTATAATTACTGAAATGCATATCTTCACATTTTCATTCTCTTTCTATTTTACTATAGTTTCATATTATTAAACAGTCTTATGTTTTGAATGTAAAATTTGCAAATTAATATACAACCTGACAACTGACAATTAATTATATTAACCCTCTATTGCATGGATTTTTATGTCAAGTTAAAAAAGATGTAGGTAAAATAAATTACGGAGTGAAACCACCTTCCAAGTTTTTATTTTACAAAATAAATGAAAAAAGAGGTTCACGATAAAATTGCAAGAGTGTGCTGTATGTGACAAGTATATTCATACATTTATTATAAATAATGATTAAATAAAAATCTATTTATCTGAATTATTTATGAGATTCAAGAGCAATGTCGACTCACTCTCGAAATAGTGCAAACGAGATTGGTCAAAAAACAAACTGTAAAATTTTATTAAAGAATGTTATTTGCCCTTTTTTTACTTATAACCAACATGCTCGAAGTTTTTAATATTGTCTACTTTACTAACATTTGAAAAAGAGAATTGTGAATGGACTGCATTAAATTGTGGTCCTTGAAATAATTTTGCTATTACATCCCCAACTTCTCGCTCTTATTTAAATAATAAAAGTCTACATGGTCAAGACTTTTTGTACTCGTTATTAGTTATTAACGTAACAATAAATAAGTCAGAAGTTAAGTCTCAACGACGTAAAACCTAGGGTCGGGATTCACATGAAAAATGTTCAAAAGATGGTTCTCGAGCTGCATAAAATCCTTGCAACAAAGGGTTAACAACGTTCCATTTAGAGATGAACCAAGTAATTATTACTTCGTGGTTTAACCAATATTTTCCAAGAAACGGAAAATTGTACTAGGTCCGTGGCAACGGAGAGCATCAGTTTTTCACGTGCAGAACGGATTTCACTTTAAAACGAATGCCCTCCGTGCGAAAGCATCGCATACAATAAAAATCTGACCCGGATCTAGGGTAAAAAGATTCTCCGCTTCCCCGACCATTTTCTTTCATCTTTCTTCCTTTTTTTATTGTACGCTTTGCTACTCCAAAGGATAGCTTTTCCGTACCTGACTCTTCATAGGATCCGTGTTGACCTGACACATATAAATGCCTCGATCTTCTCGACGTACTGCGCGAATGTTCAACGTCCACGTGTTGGAGTCACTGTGTGTTACTGATAAACGCGCGTTGTTCGTGATCACGTGCTCGTGAATTGCCAGGATCGCCTTGGTGTCCGCTTTGATCCACGCCACCTGGCCTCACAAACCCATTTCTTAACACGCTGCATCTTTTATTCTCGTGTACGTTACTTATTGCTAATGGTATGCGTAATATCAATGCCTTAAGTTATTGACGCGTCGTTCGAGAACGAAACCTTGGTGCACGCTTGGGTCACCTTGGAGGTTAGGACTGAGTTATAACCTAACCTAAATCTATTTGTTAACACATTGTGTCTTTTCTTTCAGATATACTTTACTTATCAGTTATACTTGCTAATAATTTCTTTCAGCTATACTTCACTTATTCCTAACTTCTTTCAGTTGTACTTTACTTATTACTAATAATGTAACAGTTCTTGTAAATGACATTATTTATGGCTGCACCGCAAGTTTTGTTCGAGAACGAAACCTTAGAAAAATTGTTATTATTATTATCAATGAGGTGAAGAATACTTGAATTCAAAATAAAGAGTTTTATTTTTGATATGTAGTTCTGGCTAGTAGTTTTATTATTAAGTTTGAGAGCAGTATGTTACTGAGGAAAATGGCGACGGAGACTTCGTCGTTTTAAATACAGCAGGTATGTTCGATATAAAATGGACGACATTTCCACTGTTTTCATTTAGGAGATAAAGTGAATTTTTGAATTTAGAAACATTGAAATTGGAAAATTGCGAATTTATAAAGTTAAGAATTAAGTTCTCAAGTTTTTAAACGTTCAGATTATACAATTTGGGAATTTTTTAATTTGTAATCATTCAAACTTAAAAATATGAGAATTTCTAAATTCGTACATCTTTTAATTTAGATCAATTTTCAAATTTAAAACTTTGGAAGTCTTTAAATTTATAAATATTTGAATGTAGATTTTTTAAATTTACTTACATTCATGTTTAAAAATTTGAGTTTGAAAATGTATACAAGTAAATGTATCAGAAATATTCAAAGTTTCAAAGTAGAAAATATAAAAATTTGCACAATAATAAATTTTGTAAATGAAATGTTTGGAAATTTTTGAACTGTCAAGTTACATTAAGTTTAATATTGATTTTCTTCAAAGAGAAAGTTAAAGAGTTTTTCAAGATTATCAAATTCTTTGATAAGAATATAAAATATTCAATATCACTGAACTGAATAATCTTTGACAAAATGGCTGTTTGAAACAAGTGGACAATTTTCAACGAGATATTCACCTAACCCACTTTTTTAAAAGTCATGTAATTTCTTATAGAAAGTAGAACAGAACTTATTAAATATAAAAGTATAAAGTTTCTATCAAACTTTCAGTATGAAAGTTTTAACGATGGTATTTCTATATTTTACTATAATTAACTTTTTAAGTATCTATTAAATAGTGATGGTTTTATGTTTCAAAATCCTGTACCTAATTCATCCAACTCTTGTATAGAAAATTAATATTCACTTAGAAATAAGAAACTAAGTCTTAAAATTTTCAGTGTTTCAATTTCCAATTTTTCAAATTCCAAATCATTTATTTTCAACGTTTCAAATTTTGAAAGTTTCCAATTTTGAATTTACTAAATATTCAAATCTCCAATCCCTAATTCTGCAAATGTTCAATTTCTTAAATTTTTTAACGATTTAAATAATTTTCTAAATTTATACAATTTTTCTAAATTCATTTTCTATTTTATTTTTAAAAATATTTCGAGGATCATATAAAATAGTAGTTAAAACACAAATAAATTTAAAAAATTAATTTTCAATTCCCAAAAGTCGCCATTTTTATTTACAGTATTCTTTAAAATTCATTTCGTTAGCTTCACACAACGCGATATTTGTCAGAATCAATTTATAGTTGCAAGTAGAAAGAATAATGTTACTGTACACTCTATGGCAACGCAATTATTATGATAAAATACATTAAATTATAGAAATGTAAACTTTGTTGTGCCACTCGCACCCTCTACATTTCTGTTCTATCTTGAACTAACCAAGAGATACGACTCGTCCCAATTGCGTGACTTATCTTGCGCTTTACAAAAGCGAGAATAACGTCGATATAAAAACTAGGAATGGGTTCGAACCGAATTCTCGAAACTCGAACTTGAAGTTTAATAAAATTTCAAAACTCTTAAAACTTCGGGTTATTATTTTATTTTGCAAGAAACACATCTTATTTTAAGAATCGATATCAAAAAAATTTCTCAAACTCACACTTGCTTTGCAATCCTACGATCACGATCGAATGCTTTCTTATAACCTCAAAAACAAAAGTTTGTTCGATTTTCGAAAGTAGAAAGCTTCCTGTTGTATTTCATAGTTTATTAACAAGATTGTAGGTTATGAAACACTAGAAAGACTAATTTTATTGCAATAAAAATTTATTTGAAAAAAGAAACACGTTAAAAATGTTATTTGCAAAGTCGCTACTTTGACAAACAAGTTAAGGATCATTCGGAGATATTCGGCAAAACCGAAGGAGCCCGAACGCCGATCCGAAGCGATCTACAGGCAAGCGACACAAACATTTCATGAAATCTCCGACATTTTTGTGTTTCGAGGTTTCATTTCCAGAAATCCATCCCTAGCGAAAACCATTTCCATATTACTTTACCCGCTTTTTAAATTACCATAAATTAACTCCTCATTTGATTGTTTGCCGCGGAAATGTTCTCTATTCGTAATAATTCGCAACGTTTCAAAATGTTTCAAACGGAATATAATCAAGGTTCGTTTGAATTTTTAATCACTTAGCGGACAATGCAAACTCTTCTCTTTTGAACTCAAGTATACTTCATTTTCGCGCGAATTTTGAAGTACTTCAAAAGATTTAATCAGTTCTGCTTAATAAAAAGGACATGGTTCTTTTGAAATTCAGAAACTTGTAGATGGATCTGATAAGAATTCGTTTGATTAATTTGACGAAGAACAGCGTTTCTGTAAAATTTTGTTCGTGTCTCAGACAGAGATTTTTGCGAAGATCCTTCTACAAATTTATGCGCTCTTTGAACTAAGAATTTCAACTTGTTTATTTTCTTATGAAATGTACTCGTTTAGCAGATATGAGGCCACTAGCTTTACATTTATCTGTTTTGCTTTTGCCACTCTTTTATGTGGTAGATGTACATATAAGTAATACGCAACGCTATCTTAGTTTGATTTCTTGCGTTTCTACTTAAATTCCTACAAAATTTTCTGAGAAATTATTTAAAATTTCACTGCTTTAATTTTTTAATGGCACAATGTTTTTTAGTTACTCTTTAAAAAAGAACGGAGATCTTTCTTTTTTATAAATAGGATTTCTTTTTATGTGAACAGTTCATATGTTCACTTTTTACTATAGTTAATATGTATAATTTATATCAGTCATTTCTTCATTTGTTTCACTGATTAATTTTGGGCACTTCCTACGTAAAATTCATTGAATATTATAATATCTAAAAATATGTAATTTTTGAAATTTTAATTTTGTTTTGTGATATAAATTAAATAAACAGTGTGTATTCAATGTCTCGAAGAATATATTCTACAAAAAATAATTGTCAGATTTAATTTTACAGCACCTACTAAGATTTATTATATTTGTTGTAAGTAAGAAAAGAAGAATTTAAAATAAAAATTTAGTGGTTGCTATTTGTTCTTCCTCAATGTTCAACATAAATCTATTGTTGTTGTCAACATTTCTGTAATATATTTTTGTCTTTGTATTCATAATTAATTATTACATTTTCTATACAATTAATTAAACCAATTCAAACGTAATTTTCAAAAGAAAGATAATGAAAAATATTAATATTAATAAAACTATTAAACAAAGAAACTTTCAAGAAAATTACAATTATTTGCATTTTATTGCAAAAAGTATAAAACCGTACAAACGCAGACACTTTTGTACACTGATGTGGACGGTGGATTTCCTCGTGAAAAATGGCAATATAAAGAAAAGGCATTGCATAATGGTTTTCAGTTGGAATATTTTCAAGTTTGGAAGCTTGGAAACTTTTTAAATTCAAAACTTGCAAATTTACAAATTTAGAATTTTGAAAAATTTTAAATATGGATATTCGAAAATTTCGAGAATTAAGAAATTTGACAATTGTGAAATTTGGTAATTTGAAGATTTGGACATTTAGGGATTTGGTAACTTGATAATTTGGAAATTTTCCGCATTTAATATTAGGCAAATTAAGAATCTAAAGAATTGGGGATGGAAATTTGGGAATTAGAGAATCTAGAAATTTGATATTAAGAGATTAAAAAATTTGGAAATTGAATATTAAGAAATTAAAGAATTTGGAAATTGGATATTAAAAAATTAAAAAATTTGGAAATAGGATATTAAAAAATTAAGAAATTCATAAATTTATGACATCAAAATTTGAAAATACTGAAATACAGAAATACAACAATTGAAAATATGGAGATGTGAAAGCTTCCAATCAGAGAATCAACAAATCTGTAAATTTGAAAATACAGTAATCAAAAATTAAGAAATCCCAAGTTTCCGTTACTTCAAAAAATGTCTCCTCCCATTCTCCTTCAAAGAGAGCTTCAGTGTACCATCTCAAGTACCACCCCTGACTGAAAAGCCTACTTCATCAACAATCCCCCAAGAGTTCAGACCGTCAAGTTCCATCTACAGGTCCAAGATTTGCCAAGAAGCTGTGAAGGGTGGTTTCACCCTGCGACTTCCGGCCCTTATTTCGCATAGATATTATTGGCATGAAATTGAACCGGTGGCATGTCGAATATTTGACCCCGCGTCGCTTTGAAAGGCTATCTATCAACCAACAAAAGAGGTCTGCGGTTCTTATCGATAACTCGAAAGCGGAGTGTACAGAGAGAGGGGTAAGCAGGGAGAGACACGACGGGGTAGATAGAAGCGAAAAGCGAGGAGGGGAGGGCTTTGAGTGTTTGGTAGTGACGGCCCTGTGAGTGCTTCCACTTATAATACATTATACGAGGATAGTGAACTCCCTCCCCCGTTTCCTTGCCCCTCGCTCACCCTCTTCCTGAACAGTTCCAAAAACGAGCTCTCCTCGGAGAACTGAAAAAGTCCCCGGACGACA